TTAAATTTGCAGAGAATCTATGAAAATAGTAATCAAACCTATTGCTATTCAGTTGATTCCAACTCAGAATAACTCTGCAGGAGGGGGGAACTGTTCTATCGGGTTTGGCAGGATATAAATCTTTTTTTTTCTTTTTTATTAAATCATTTTATTGGGGCTCTTACAGCTCTTATCACAATCCATACATATATATACCCATTGTGTCAAGCGCATTTGTACGTATGTTGCCATCATTTTCAAAACATTTTCTTTCTACTTGAGCCCTTGGTATCAGCTCATTTTCCTGTACCCCCACCCAGTTCTTTACTTAATGGCCCCAAACTGTCTGGGCAAAGTACAAGGATTGATCTTCTCTCTAAAGATATTTCCATTGGAAAACTATTATGATTTAATGGATTCTTGGATCCACAACTCTTTAATTTTTACGTTCCTTATTGATTTATTTTAACAACATTTATTTTATCCAAGCACCAGAAAAGTAAACTCCCCACCCCAGGACTCCCAAAGCTGCAATATTTATGGAAGCAGACTGCCACATCTTTTTTTCCCTGGGAGTGGCTGGTGGATTTGAACTACTGCCCTTTGGTGTTGCAGCTGAACCCTCAACCACTGCACCACCAGGGCTCCATATAGATTGTCCTAAAACGCAAACCAGGACATTTCCATCTTCCAACTTCTTTCCCCAACTGACATTGAGTCGATTCTAATTCATAGTGACCCTATAACCTCATCTTTCTCCTGTGGATTGCTGGTGGGTTTGAACTGCCAACCTTGCAGGTAGCAGCCCAATCTGATTCAACACTGCCACCAGGGCTCCTTATAAGGTGCTGAAATACTCCACAAATGAATGGTTTAGCCCACCTAGAGCCTTTCACAGGGAGCCCTGGTGGTATAGTGGGCTAAGCACTGCTAACATCAAGGTCAGCGATTCAAGCAAACTACCAGCCAATCCATGGGAGAAAGACAGGGCTGTGTACTCCTGTAACGCATTATAGTTTCCGAAACCCACAGAGGCGGTTCTACCCTGTCCTACAGGGTTGCTCGGCGCCAGAATCAACTCAATGGCAGTGAGTAAGGGAATTTCACAACCTTAACCTTAAATATTTATTAGTAGAGAAATACCAAGAGATTCAGAATATTTTCAAAACTCCATCCTCTGCTTAAGAGTTTTTTGGGATTTTTTAAAAAAATACCCATGCCTCAAACTAACTTTTGGTCACTCTTCAAAGGACTTATGACAACAATAAACCTTTACTTACTTGGTTTGGCACTGGCCTTTTCTGGAGCTAGCTCTTGAGAAGTCTCTTCTAATGGAGCAAGAATTCTGCCTTGCAAAATTGGAATGTTGCTGTCTTTCAAACCAATGTGTCTATTGCGTTCATATTCCTTATGCCTGTTTTCTTTTTGGCTCAGTGATTTCCTACGGGCGATTTTGGTTCTAATCATGTCAGTGCTTAAATCCTTTCGGTGTCGACTGGCGAAATGTGATGAAGCCATCCTGTCAGGGCAGGGAAAAGAGAGATGGAGGCTATCACACATGGTTTTTATTACTTAAAAATTAAAGTTCTCGTTCAATATTCTCACCTCCTGCCCCACCTCATAGTCTGTTGACATAAAAACATTGAAATGCTTTATCAAAAACTATGTGACACTGGAGAAGGGGGGGTCGCTCTCAAAAGACTAGAAACTACAACCTATGTGGAGTGTCCAGTAGGAACTCTGAGGATAGGTGTGCCTGCCCCAAAGCACGCTTACTGTCAACTGCTTCATACTCACCGTGAAAGCAGGACACTGAAAAAGGGAGACTAAAAAACAGAAAGGATACTTTTGAATTATGGTATTGGAATGAATATTTACTACATCACGGAGTGCCAGAAGAACGGACGAATCTGACTTAGAAAAAGTACTGCCAGAATGACTGTTGGAAGTGAGCTATGGGAGCATTCATCCCAGAAATTTTGGACATGCTAGTAGGACAGACCAGCCCTTGGAGAAGGAAGAGCATCCCAGTTGGTTGAGGGTCTAAGGCTCTCGATGAGGTAGACAGGCACAGTGGCGGCTGCAGTGGGCTCAAACATGGCAGTGGTTGTGATAGCATAGGCCTGAGCACTTTTCAAACACAGGGTCGCTATGCATTGGCATCAACCCAATGGTATGAACTGGAACTTGCTTGACAAGGGGCTTATCATAGAAGGCACTGGACAAAGAATATGAAGGATAGGTGAAAACCAAGGAATGACCTGCCCCTGATGATAAACGCAATCCTCCTAGCATTTCTTGTGGCATGGGAGAGGAATTCGAGGGAGCAGGACACAACAAATAAAGAACACTGGGGCGGGGTGTGGACAAGAAACTTGATTTGGCTTCTGAAAGTAGGCCTTGCCATCCCCCAGTTTCAAGGTGTCTGTTTTTCACAAACAGACATGTTTGATGTTTTTACATGCAAGCAGTTTCAACTCACAGTGAACCCATGCACAACAGAAGGACTCACTCACTGCCCAGTCTTGGCCATCCTCTCCCCACTGCTGCTGTGCCTGAGCCCCTGGCTGCCATCCTGGTGTGGACCCAGCTCACTTCCCCTTTCTGTTTGACTACTTTACCACTGACGTCCTTCTCCTGAGACTGGTCCCTTCTGACAATATGTCCCAAGCATTCTGGCTGTACTTAACCATTAGTAAATGAGATGCTGGTCTGGGGACTGCACCTTGTGAACTAACTTAAGGGTAAGTAAGGGAGGACGGACAGGGGAAGACGAGCCACACATTCTGTGATGTAATCAATCACCGACAGCACATTAAGGACACCGTATTGAAGCTGTGTCTTCACTAACTACTAGCCAGGACTTTGGCTCTTGGAGCATCCAGATTGATGATGCACATGGGACCAGCAGGTTGTTGGGAACATGAAGCTCCATGTTGAAAACCTCTCTACCTACTGGACATGTAAGGGAAGAATGAAGAGACCATGGGGCATACAAGATTGGGAAAAAAGGGTTTAGAAGACTTGCCCTAGTGAGGTTGACAATAATCTGCTCTGGGGAAGGCAGAGTAATATTTTCAGCCGTGAAGGAAACCATAGTTTGCCTAACACATACCCTTTTCTTAGAAAGGTTCTTGAGAATGTACTAAAGTTATTTTTAAAAAAAGAAAAAAGACATGAAAGAGAGTGATATGGGCCTCAGAAACAGTAGATTCAGCTGAGGAAAAGAATAATGAGAAGTCTAAGCGTGTCACCTATGCAGTTGGTGTAGAGATCCACCAACCCAACCGGAGAAAAGGACTGGTCCTCCAGAAGAGCCCAGCCGGTAAGTTTTTGTTTTCTAGGCTCAGTGACTGAAAGGTTAAAACACGAACAACAAAAAACCCACTAGGAAATTCCATATAAACAAACAAAAACCTGCACACAAGTCGTACAACAAATCAAACCAGTAAATGATTTTCAGCAACTGCAGACTATAAAAATGGAGCCCATGTGCGGCCTGGGTGCTAATACGCTCTCCTTCAAGGGCCCTGGGGCAGTGACGGTGGACTGTGCCTTTTAATCAGGCTCTCAAAAAAAAAAATTTTAAAAAATCAGGCTCTCTTGTTTGATTTGCCACCTTTCACAAGACGACCGAAAATAAAACAAGGTTATTTAAAAAGACGAACGGACCACCCATAGCAAAAACAAAGGAACCAACACTAAAGGTAGAATCATCGCCAAACCACTCAGTCAAGCCCGACCTTATGGGCGGGAACAGAACGTCCCACAGGGTTCCCAAGGCGGTACATTTTATGCAAACCACTGCCACCTTTCTCTCGCCGTGCAGGTAGGTGTTGGGTCCGCAGAGGTACAGCTCCCAACAGCCGGGAAGGGGGGCTCCTTAATTTACTCATCCCAATCATTATCGCCGTGGTACAGATGAAGTAAATTAACTGCTCACATTAGCACAATTAACAGCGGGGAGGGGGGGGGCTGGGACTCCAAGCCAAACACAGGTTTGCTCGCACGCGGGGCGTTTTCAGAGATGTGACGACCGGAGAGGAGGAGCAGATGTCAGGGCCCAGGAGGGCAAACGTCCTCATCCGGAATTCCTCCCCGCCACACAGGCCAATTGCGCTCCGGTAGACACAGACTGCTCCTCAGATCAGGGCCACGAACGCGTGCGCTCTCTCCCGAAGGACCGAGTCACCGGCTCAGGTTCGGGCGGGGACGCGGTCCTCGGGGCGCTGTCCCCCAGGGGGTCCGGCTCGCAGCCCGGTCCTCAGACCCTTCCAGACGTCCCAACCCTTCACCAGAAGCAGCGCCGCGCCCTCCCTCCGGCCCCACAACCACCACCTACCTGAGGCAATTCCTAGCGTGAGCCGTCAACAAACCGAAAAGCAAAAAAACCCCTCTAACAACAACAAGCCGTTCAGGGAGACTCCGCCAAATTCAAACTTCCCGCACGGAGCCGCTGATTGGAGGGACTTTAACCAACACTTCCGGCCAAAGGACCCGGCCTTTCCGCTCAAGCTGGCTGGTGGCTGGTTCGTTCCGTGCGATATTTGAATTGATTGACAGGCGAAGGGACGACTCACAGCAAGAGCTTGAGAGGAAGTAAGAGGCGGGTCGGCGAGGTGAGCTGAGAAGGGGCGGAGCGGTGGGAGCGCTCCCGCTGGGACCAGGCGGGCTTAGGCCCTGTGGGACCTTTGGGTGCTGTGGGGACCGCTAGATTTGACGGGGAGCATTTGGCCCGGGGGAAGAAGGGCGGGAGAGGACGAGGAAAGGGCGGCAGGGGTGCTGTTCCTTGAGGTCCCAGCCTTTGAGGTACCCGAGAAAGGACCAACGGACCCGCGGGATGGGGAAGTGGAGAGGCTAGTCCTGGCATTTAAGACTGCAGCGCTCTTTAATTTAATGTGCCCGTTTAGTTACCTAAACCCACCAGACGTTATTAGAATTGAGTTTCTTAACGTTTTGCAGGTTAAAGCGCTCTATTATTACACGTTTTCTTACTTTGTGGAGTGTCACTGCAACGTCTACAGCCTTTTTCTAATCCATTTTTGAAAATGGAACTATATATAGCGCGCAAATGAATGCGTTTTGGTAAATTAAACAGCTATATGGCCATCCTCTTTCAAGATTTAGAACTTTTCCATCACCCAAGAGATTGCCGCGTGCTCCTTTCAAAGTCCGGCCCTGACCGATTGGGCTTTTCGATAATCGTAGGTATTAAAGTGAATGGTACTGTTTCTGCCTGCCTACTTTCGACCGGTTTCCTGGATCCATGCATACTGATTGTGAATAATCCGTTCGTTTTCATTGCTGGGAATGGTTCCATTGAACACTATCCATTTACCTGTTGATGGACATTTAGGTTGTTCCCAGTTTGGGGCTTTTATGAATAAAGTTGCTATAAACAGTCTTATACAAGTCTTTGTGGACATGTACTATTTCTCTTGGGGAATACAAGTATACATTCTGGATATACTTTGTAAGAAATTGCCAAGCATTTTCCCAAAGTGATTGTACCGTTTACGCTCAGTGATGTATAAGCTTTCTACTTGTTGGGCAATCTTGGCACTATTTGAGGCTGTCAGTCTTTCACTTTAATGCTGTTAATGGGCATGGAATGGGACCTGGTTTTAATTTTTCAATTTCCCAACGATTAATGAGATTGAGCCTATTTTCATATGCTTATTGACTTTTCATACCTTGCTTTGTGAAAATGTCTGTCTTCATATTTTCTTTAAATTGGGGGGGTGTGTCTTTTTAAAAAATTTGTAATGTTTAGAAAATAGTGATGGCAACATATGTACAAATATGCTTGATACAATCAAGGTATGGATTGTTCTGAGAGCTGCAAGATCCCCCAATAAAATGATCTTTTAATTTTTTTTAAATGGTTGCTTTTATTATTCAGCTCTTTATCAGTTTCAGGCACAAACGCTGTGTACTGTGAATATATTCTCCCAGCCTGTGGGTTGCCCTTTTTTTTTTTAAGTAACCTTATTTTAGAATATAGTTACAGAAAGATAATGAAGATAGTTCGCTGTACAGTCTACTTTCCCTTGTTTGTATTAGTATGGTGCGTTGGTTACCATTGATAGCATACATTTTTAGAAACCCACTCTTCAATCACATGTCTTTCGTTTTTACTCTGTGGTCTCATTCTATTCTACAGTCCCACCCAGTACACCATGTTGCATTTACTCATCATAGCTCCTTAAGCTCATTAGAGTGAAACAGTTTCTCAGGCTTTTCTTAGTTTTTGAGGAGTATAGCCAAATGTTTTGTTGAATGCTCATCAGTTGGGATTTGTTTAGTGTTTTTCTCATGATGAGTCTGGGGTTATGGCTTTTTGAAAGCCCTGGTAGTGTAGTGGTTACACTTTGAGCTATGATCCACATGGTCGGCAGTTCAAAACTGCCAGCAGCTCCACTGGACAGATTGGGCTGTCAACTCTTCTAAACAGTTACAGTCTTATAAACCCACAGAGTGGTCCCTTTGGGTCAGCATTGACTCGATTCGATGGCAGTGAGTTGTTTTCCATACTGTACTCTTGAAGGGAATTACTATGCAATCCACACTTAGGAAGTGGGAAGTTACTATCTTCCACCTCCTTGACAAAGTATCTGCATAATTTGGAAGTATTCTGCATGAGAAATTTGTCTCTTCTGTCCATTATTTAGTCAATTATTCATTTACACAAGGATGGACTCATTGATATTTATACTCAGTTTGCTGCTCAGTTTGCTCCAGCTTTGATCAATGGGATCTCTTTCCGTTGGCTTCTGTGTCACTTTGACATCTCCATCTGAGGATCTATTTGGACACTTACTTTCTAGCACTATCAAGCTGTCCTAGGCTCATCTGGTATTTTTCCTGCATCAGATTCCTTTGATCTGAGAATAGGATTAGAAATGAAGGTCTAGGTGCCTGCAAGTCTTTGTACTAGTGAGTCTTTCAGTTTACACAGAGAGGAAATACACATATCTTTACTAACGTGTGTGCACATGCAGACATTATCTACAAACACCTATATGTAACCATTCTAATCTACTTTCACAGGAGCAAGATGTGAAAGTTTGCTTCCATTAAGATGGATTGCGATAACAGTTGTATGAGCCCCTAATAAAATGTTTAAAAAAATTAAAAAAAAGATTACAACCTTGGGAAACTGGAGGGGAGGGGGGGCCGGTCAGATGCTTAGCCATCCTCCCTGGAGGCAGACTGCTGTTTCCCCACACCACAGGGGTGGGCTTGCTCGCTGCTGCTGGAGACAATGGATTACTTCTCCCTAAAGCTTGCAACCAGTAGCTTGGTTCCTGTAGGCGGAGTTCACACCCTACTGATAATGGTTCATATGGAGATCCAGAAAACAGGTCAAAAAAAATTTTTTTTAAACAGGTCAAATTTAAGCTGCCATCCTAAATCTAGGATGCGCCCATCTTGTCACATGTATACCCCCAATCCCTCCTCTTCCTATTGCGTGTATGTCCCTAGATCGATCACCCCCTCCCATTATTGTATTACTTATAGCACAACCCCTAACTGTGACATATGTCTTTACCTGTAATTAGTGGGCTTGCACAACCCCCAAAGATATATAGGCCTGGGTTAGCAATAGAGGTCGCTCTCACTAGTTGCTAGTCGCTGTCCCCTCTTTCCCCTCTCCTCTCCCGTCCTCACTCCGCTGTTCCCTTTGCCCTCCTGCCCTTCCCCCTCTCTCCACGTGGACCACCAAGCTGGGCTGAGGTGAGCAATGCTACCATGTAATGTGTCTGACTCCATTGTTTGACTCTTCTATTGCTCATGCTCTCGATGACGTTAATATAATCTACATACATCTCAACCGTACAATTGTGCTTACTGAACCCGAGGGTAGTGGTGGGGGGCTAGCCCCTCACCATATACTACAGGAAACCTACGGCCAGGTCTGTGTTCTGTAGGATTGCTATGAGTTAGAATCAACCCCATAGCGATAGGTAAGCTAAACACAAGCTCCTAACAATGTCTCCAACTCTAGTCTTTATAACATGGGTCCTGGAGCCCCTCCCCCATCTAAACCTACCCCAACTGCAGGAAATCCGGACCTGTGGGTTGCCTTTTCATTTTAATAGTGTCATAGGGGATAAAATTAAGTCTGATGAAATCTGATGTACCAAAATTTCTCTTTTACTTTCAGTGATTTATTTTCCCTTTAAGAAATCTTTATCTATGCTTGATACAACTGATGTATGGATTGTTATCAGCTGTAAAAGCCCCTTATAAAATGATCTTTTAATTTAAAAAAATCTTTGTCTATCCCAAGGTTAATAGTTACTCGTTTTCTGCTAGAAACATTTGCGTTTAAACTCTTGTTTAGGTCTGTGATCCATATCAAATTAATTTCTGTATGGTATCGCTATCTTTTCTCACTAAAAACAAACAAACATTGGCCAGCATCACAATCTGCACATTCTAGTCTAACCCCCTTGCTGAGAATTGAGCTTTCCACCCACATAATACTGAATCAGGGTCTAAAAGTTTACAAGCACCCCAGGTGATTCTAATGTATGCATAAGACTATACCTAAGATTCAGCTGAGAATCTATCACCTGGGGGTCTTGATAAAAATGTAGATATCTGAGATGGACATGTCTTGTCTCTGCAGGGACCCTGACCCAACTGTGCGAAGCTTTGCAGGAAACCTGTTTGCCTGGCTGCTGTTAGGTGAAGTTCCCCTGCAAACCTAGGAGGGTCTCTGAATTCACTAGAACTGCAGAGTCGCATTGGATTGCAAGATACACAAGAATTGTTGGGAGGGTTAAATGAGAACATAGTCCAAGTTCTGCTTCCTGCCGAAATGTCAAGTCGATTCGGACTCACGGGGACCCCATATAACCGAATAGGACTTCAGCTTCAAGTAGGATTTTCCAAAGCTGGGATCTTCATGGAGCAGGTCACCAGGGCAGGTCCTTTTGCCCTCAAAGCCACAAATAGGTGTGACTCACCAATTTTTCAGATATAAAGCAAGTACAACATGGAGGACGAGGACACTGCAGTCAATCAAGCTCGCAGCAAGCATGAGCTTGACAGGCTTGGTAGGACAGTTTTGTCTGAATGACGGGTGTGGGAACCATACTGCATGAGTTAATACTTCACTGGGAGTTTTCTGAAACACCAGCAAAGAGTGTAAGCAAAGAATTACAGCTTTTAGTGATTGTGATTAATGACGGGCAAGATGGCATGGTTAATTTAATCAGGATTCAAACCCAGGTGTTCTAATCTTTATGGCTGGCCCCCTGGCTTGTTATTTCAACGTTTATTTGAGAATGGGAAAGATCGTTGGCTTTGAGGTCAAAGGGGTTGTTTGACGTTGCCATTTCATAGCTGGCTAGTTTTTCAGCACGTCTCTGGGTCTTCATCTCCTTATCTACCTCTTAGAGTTGTTAT